GATACTGCTGATGAAGGAAATTTCACAAATTGGATGCAGGAAACACCTCAACTTCGGCAAACAGGAAATCTGACATACTCTCTTTATAAGTAAAGGGGTGAGACATGTCAAGACAAGGATCCTTTCGGAGGTAATTTGTTTTTTCCAAGCTCCTGCGGGCGAATTTTTGTAATGTTGTATTTGTTGACTAGATAGGACAAGACAAGGGTGAGCTCAAGTTAAATGGTTGGTCGGCCATTATGATAGGGGGGTTGCCAGCCTTCCTTCGAGCCCTTTATTGAGCGGAAGAATCGACTAGTGAACAGAACCCTTTCACTGGCTGACAACCAGACAATTCTTCTGGCCTGAAAAGAACTCGAAACAAGGCTCAAAATCTTCAAAACGACACTGCCAACCAATCATATAATTCCATTCCATCTTTTCCTTGTTTTGTTTGGTCGAAAAACACAAAATTTTAATAGTTAGTCCCATTTTCAGAGAATACAGATTGTTCAGAAGCTGAGAGAGCTAAAAACTTAGACTGAATTTTTTTTGCTGCTGATTTTGAAGGTTAAGAGTGAAGAGCCTTCTTTTCTGGATGACCCTCATAAAATGTAAAATGATGTAGAGAACATTTAATCATGAAAAAATTACAAAGTTTTGAATGAATTTAGAACAATCCTCTTTGAGCCGCAGTTTTATTGAACAAAATGTATGGAAAAAGACGATAAGAGTAATTTTAGGTAAAAGTTGACAGGGCAAGAACATTCAAGACATCGAAATTGACACTGAGTAAATATTAACAAAGTGCATCCACAAAACAAAATGTAAAGAAATCATCAAGTCTGATTATTACAAAAAATTAAAAAAGGAAAAATAAAAAAAACCTTGCACATACTTTTTAGCGATTGAAGTACTGACTATCTATTTTAGTGAGCCCAATATCTGAAGCTAGAAGAGATGTAGAAGTTGATTTTGCAAGTTCACAGATTTGTACTGACAGTACGCTACCTCTAATATAACAATGTTTTAACAGTAAATTTTTATCTAAAAACATTGCAAACAGAAGAGCTCTGTTTTGACACAAAAAGTAGGATATTCAGCATCTTCATGATGCTTTAAAGAAAATACAAAAGTTATCCAACTGTTCCACTTGTTTAGCATCATACAAGGGCTTTTAAGAGATGGTAGCACATGTACTGACGGGTATTTGGAATTATATTAAATCTGAACCAAGGCAGCCGCAAGAGGCAACGGCTATTTCAATGAAAGCCCCCCCAAAAGCTACTACATCTCTTCCAGCCTTCAGTCTTTCAGTTCATTTAAACAATAGGTAGGTTAGGCTCTCTTCCAGTTAGTTTTCAAATTGAATGGACGTCTAGAGGAAAGACTTCAAGTCACTAGTATGAATATTCTGACTTAAAAGTAGATTTCCTCAGGCAACTTCGAGTGAGGGTCGTTAGATAAGTTAGGGCAAAACTAAAAAAAAGTGATTTTATAGACATGAGACGTCTATCTTTCAAGATAATTTCTACTTGGGCTTCAAATTTATCCATTGATTTTCTAATTTTCCTATTCTGTCAGAATAAATCGTTTCGTCTAACTCTGCAAAATGACCATTTAATTAAGTAAGAGGTCCAGAATTGGGGGGGGGGGGGGAGGATATCTTACCACCGAGCTTTTTTTTAAAATGCTTGAAATAAATCATAGTCCTGTAGTGCTAAATCCGGTAATAATGCTATCACAACTGCAGATGCATCAGACTGACGCATTATCACGATGAAACAGGACTTTTTTCTTGGTCAAATGCGGTTTCGATTTGATTTTATCCTTCACTTGGTCCAATAAAGCTCCAACATACAACCTTGTGATAGTTTTACCGATTTCTAATCTAAATAATAAATAGGGACAACACCATGGGAATTCTAAAAAAACTCTAGCTTAAACTATTCCCACCGATTGAACAGTTTTGGGTTTTTTTTTCCTTAATTGTTCCGCCTTTCATTGATTGTTTTGACTGTTCCTTTGTCTCCTGACCTAAAATGCACTCTTTCATTGATGATGTGAGTGGTCACCAAATTTTGGTCAAATAGCGTTAAGCAGGGTTGCCACAGAATTTAGAAAATGAAATTCCCTGACATTGCCCTGACATATTTTGGTGGAATTCCCTGACAAATGAAGATATGTCAGATGGTCAATAAGACGAATATACGAATAGTTTAATATGACGAATAGTCAATATTACGAATAGTTTTTAGACAAAATGTGTTGTTCAAAACGTAGAACCCATTTCAGACAGCAATTAAAGGTAACCCGACAATTATCCCTGTAATTTTCGTCATTTTCCCTAACAATTTATTTTTCGTCAGGTTTTTCCTGACTTTCTAAAATTTCCCAATATTTCCCGGTATTCCCTGATTGTAGCAACCCTGGTTAAAAAAGGTGGAACCTGTTATAGGAGCATCAACTCGAACACGTTTTTGCCCATCTGTCAACAAACGAGACACCCGTCTCACAAAGAATTCTCTCACTCCCCAAAACTTGATGCATAATAGACCACACTCGTTCCGTTGAGATTCTTTCAATCTGCAATCACATGTTACCAGTTTACCGATTTTTTCGAAGATTTCATTAATGACTATCTAAATTGACTACCCTGAACGTTCCCTATCGCAAATTCTCATGTGACCACATTTAAACTGACTGAACCACTTGTAAACCATTTGACGCAAAGGCGAATACTCTGCATCTACTTCCATTTTAATATCAGCAAATTTTGGACATGGTAAAAATTGCATTTGATTAAAACTCGGAACTCGTTTTTCTCCATACTTGTAGATAAACATTATTTGATTAAGAAAATGAGATGATTATTGTAAGCTAATCAGCTGAAATGTTTCAAAATTGAGGTGCTGTCATTCGGGAGTAGGTCATTACATGTTATGAAAGCAGTGAGTTTTACCTTCCACGTGCATGATAACCGGTTTTGCACCCTCTTATCAAACGGCCCTTATAAATTCTTTGAAAAATTCGTTCCATTTAAAAAAATAGAGTATTTCAGGAAGAGCTGTCCAGAGACTAAGGAATTTTGGATGAACTTCAGAATATTGTAAACATAATAATGATAGCTCTGCTAGTTTCAACCATGACCGTCCGCAGGAAAAGGGATGTTGCTAAAAAAAACTTGGAATTGAGATATTGATACTACTAAAGGCTCATTATTAAAATTGATAGACAGAGGTGACAAAGGGGAAATGGAAAAATCCTATTGGTGTAAGCAGGTGGCAGCAGCGGACAAAGGAGCTAAGTAATAAACAGACTAACAACAACCCAAAAGAGATCCTATAGTTAGTCCATCATTTTCTCCTTGGTCTGTAACAACCAATAGGATCACTTTATTTTCCCTTCTTCTACGAGGGGCATTCGTAAAGTAAGTATATATCTTTATTTTCTCCAAAACTAATGAAGATAAATTAAAACGGTAAAAATTGTTTTTACCGTCAGCTTTTTGCAAATCCTTTGTTTTTTAAATTTGGTTTACCGGTTCGCGAGTGACGTCATTTTTCTCGCGCCCATCTCTCGTCACCGCATGTCCAAAATATTTGAGCGCGGCGAAGCTCCTCAGAGGAGTACATGCTCTCACCGTAAAGAAGCTTGTAACACAAATAATTGGTTTATTATGTGGAAATTTCAGGCTTTGAATTGTCTTACCTTACTTTTCGACATAATCTCCACCTAGTTGGACACATTTCTGATACCGTGTTAGCAGTTTGTGAATTCAATCTTCAAAAAATTGCGCATCCTGTAGTTGGAACCATTTTTTAACAGGTTCTTGCAACTCTGCGTGGGTGGAGAACTTTTGGCCAATCAAGCTCTTCTTTAACGCAGGAAAAATATGAAAATCGTTTGGAGCAAGGTCCGGTGAGTACGGTGGATGAGGAAAAAGGTCCCATTGAATGAGGCAAACAACTCTTGAGTGACATGAGCCACATGAGGCCTAGCGTTGTCATGAAGGAACAAAATTTGACGAGACAAAAGACCGGGCCGTTTTCGCTTGATCGCTGACTTAAGATTTTTCAAAACTTCACAATATCTTGCGGCATCGATCATTTTTCCTCTTTCCAAGAAATCGATCAGCAATATTCCTTGAGCGCATAGAGAAAAAAAAGGAGGTGTTTGCATTTCCGGCATCTTGGAATTTTTTGATGATTTGATGACGTAGGTCGGTACAGCGACGTTTATATTCTGTAGATTTTCTTGGAAATGGTGTAATTTAAGGAAAAAAGTCATTCTACAAAAAGTGCTTGAAATTATGTAATGAGTTGATTTAAGTAAAAAAATCGGACATTATGGTCCGTTTTTCATATTTTGAATTCCGGATTTTGCTGGCCAGGTTGTGACGACCTATGTCACAGGGTAAACAAACCTCAAGATACAAACACCTCCTTTTTTTTCTCTATGCCTTGAGCGTCCCAAAACACAGTAGCCAAAACATGTACTCGTCTGAGGAGCTCCGCCACGCTCGAATATTTTGGACATGCGGTGACGAGCGATGGGCGCGGGAAAAATGAAGTCACTTGCAAACCGGTAAACTAAATTTAAAAAACGAAGGATTTTTGAAAAGCTGAGAGTATGGCGGTAAAAACAATTTTTACCGATTTAATTTATCTTCATCAGTTTTGGAGAAAATAAAGATATGTACTTACTTTACGAATGCCTCTCGTATTTTCATAGACGTCTTTAACCATGACAATCAAAGCATGCTACCAATACATGAATGTCAAGTGCTGTGATTGGTCTAAGACATGGAAGCCAATCATAACACCGGACTTGGATGTATTGATAGTGCAGTTTGATCGTGTGGCACTAGTTGATCAATTTCAATGATGAGCCTCCTGGTTAGAGGAGTGTTTTCCTAACATTTTGACTCTGAGAATGCTTTAAATGTTAAAAACCAGCATTGAATCTATTTGAACTTTGTATTTCAAGGAACAAGAGTTTCAGAAAAGATTTTTGAGGGATTACATTTTCAATCTGTGTTTTATTTGAGGCTCAAATTTTTCCGATCAAATGCAACTTTCTGCCCTCTGTGGGCATTAATTCTTGAAATGATTCCGATTTTTCAAAATTGAGATTTTTTAGTCCTCCTGAACATAAATTGGACACATTCAACAAAAATCTGCGCGACTACATTAGACATCACCTAATCTCCTCTCGTTTTTTATTTTTTTAACAGAAAGTTTGACTTGAAATTTTGTGAGTTTAATCTTGATAGTTGAGGGAGAATTCGTATAGAGTTTCAAGGCGTTGTGTAATTTAAATTAACCAATATCGAATGCAGTTACATTGATTGTGACTAAATTTGTACAGTTGTTCTTCTGAAAGATTTGTTTTGACGTATGGAGCTCCCTTTTCCTGTAGAAAGTCACAAATAAATACAATCTTTGGCAGGACCTTGTAACAACTCTGTGCTTAGCAAAAATTAAACAATTCCATCCAATATGAAGTTTAAGACGGGATTCCTTCTTGGAAATGCAGAAAAGTGTGTAAAATATGTATAAAAATCAATGTAGAAACAAATGACAACAAAATGATAAACACAGTAAATATTGCGTTGACAAGACAGGCCTTAAGCAGACATTCTTTCAAAAATGATTCCAACAACAAATGAAGCTGATAATAATTTTAAAACAAATAAAAAATCCGAAGAAAACACATAAAATGGCAATATCCCATTTGATTATCTTGAAAAATGTACACAGTTCTGGCGTGTATTTCAGAGATGTCCGAGAAAATTATTTAAAAAAGAAGAAAGAGCTTAAAGATACAAAAATTGGCTGCTTTGAAGCACCAGCCTCCAAATTCTTAGGAAAACGTAAGTAAGAGAGAGTCAAGGAATCTTGGTCCAAGTAATTGCTTTTTTCTTATACAAAGTATGTTTAAATGCTTTATGACTTAACCATAAATCAGGCTACTTCCCCCTGTGCGGCACAAGAGAGATTTTGCTGACATTAGTGCAAGGAGTAATTCATTCAAGTCCTCCATACTTGCAATTTTCGCCACGAATATAATTTTTTTACACTTCTTCCTGGCAGCCTAAAATACCTAAGGGCCCCTGAGAATGTAGACTTATTGTTTATAAAATGTTACTCAAATCTAAGCTAAGCTTCACAATGTTCATAAGATGAAAAATGAAGGATAAAACTTTTTACGCTTCCTGATAGTTTCATCTCAAAAAAATGTGTCAAATACTTTTTCACCTAGGACTTTTTGTCTGAGTTTTTCATGAAAGGTTCACCTATAAGTGAAATTACCTAAAAATAAATTGATTTAATTTACCTAAAAATTGGCTGAGGCATTATTAATACAACCGATTTTCAAAAAATCTTCGACAACATCTTCACCTGTCTTGCTCACTTGCTTTTCACTTATTTTGGATGTATTTGGGCAACAGGTCCTACTTGTAGTACATGATCGCTACCTGTAATTGCTACATCTTTAAACAAAATATGGCATAAAATGACTTCAGAATTTTAGATGACAAGTTAATAGGAGAAATTTTGAAGTATTTTACATAACATCAAATGTCTTGAGTGAAAATGCGTTTTTAGCTTTTAAGTGAAAAAGCATTAAGCACATTTTTTCGGAGAAATTTCTTTGGTAAAATGAAATGGAATCGTTTTTACTCTCAAAGTTCATTAGTGTCGTAAGCTTCCGTGTTATCATTCAAATTGCAACATATGACTCTCAAAATCACAAAAAAGTTACTCAACTCCTTAATACGTGTCAAACTTTATTTTTGATATGCCCTTTGAATATTCTACTTCTTTTCGATCTAATACTGAGTTATTTATCACTTGAACGTAATTGCACTAAATTGAATTATGGGCAAATGAATTAAATTAAAAGGAACTATGTACATGGGAATTACGAGGATCATAGTTGCTATTGAACCTTCACTCATTTGTACACAGTTCCCTTCAGCAAAAATGTGTCCACTTGACCATTCCAAGGAAAAGGGACCTCAGTGCCCAAAAATTCCCGTTACATAAAACTCGTAACTATCCAAATTGATTCGAAAAACATCGATTTGGATAAAAAAAAATCTGATAACGCGTGATCCTCCCACCCTTTCCTGGATTATCCGGGATAGCATGTGGAGAACGCAATTTTAGACAAATATTAATGAATTAGAGCATTAACCATGGTTAGACAAATATACAGATAATACTGATCAGACAACTAAACTTTTTTTTTGCACCTTTTCACTACCTCACCAAAAATTGATAGTTCCTATAGCCTATGTCACACTATCAAAGCTTGCCATCAAAATATAAAGATCAGATGTTTTAATTGGCTTATTCGATGACTCGGACCAATCACAGCACTTGACTTTGACATTTTGATGGAGTATTTTGATAGCGTGACACATGCTAATGGCTTTAAATGGAGGAAAAACAGTGTTGCCAACCTTGCAAAATTGCAAATCGTCGACAAAATAGTGGAAATGTGCTGAACTTCAGCATAATGCGGGGACAATGCACTGTATCTGAGGTAAAAAAAAAATTCCTTCACTGACAATGATACAGCCAAGTGTGAAAAAAATTCCTGTTTTAGTAAAAGAGGAAAGCTACAGAGGGCTACGGTGAAAGTAATGTTTTCTTGGTGTTACCAAGTTACAACCTTGGGGTTCTCTCTGACCCCCTTTCACCTGCTACAGTTTTTTGTCACCTGCGAGCATATAAAAAGTTTTGACAATTTGGCTCTAACTTTTAATTTCGACAAAATATTTAAAGTGCGCAACACTGATTAGTGTGCTTTTGTTCAAATCAAGATCTTAAAACCTTAAAAAATCAAGAGAGGGGAGCTATTTTATTCAATTTCACTTCAGGAGCTTGCTAAGTAATGCTTAATTCCTGCATTTCTGAGAACTAGAGAAAGCACAGAGATCACAGGAATTTTTCCCGATTTTTTTAATAATAGTAATCCACCAAAAAGAGCTCGAAGTTGCAAAAAGAAAAAGAAAAAGAAAAAGAAACCTGAATTGGCACCATTAAAAACCTAGCAATGAGATTTTAAAATTTTACTCGTTTATAAAAGATTATGAAAGAATGATTTGAGATTGAATGAAATTGAATGATGAAAGAATGTGATCACTAGCATTAAGCATGAAGTCAAACAATGTGCTCCATGTAGATTAGAAGAGAGAGAGGATTAAGAAAATCTCGATCGTGAAACTAAGAGCCCTTGTAATTGTAACTTTGCACATTTCCTGGCATTTTTTTATTTTTTTATTTTTTTATTCCCATCGTTATTAAAACTATTTTGTGAGATGTTTCTTTGCTCTGTCAAAAATATTGTCTGAAGATCTCATACTAAAGTGTCTTTTAACATTCTTTTAAAAAAGTATAAGAGTAGTGGAGATTTTCTATCACCGGCAATCAAGATAAATGTTTTCGTAGTTTTACCTCACCTTGCGGCGTCGCCTACTAAGTCAGGCTCACTTACAGCAAGCTTTCAGCTGAGAAATTTTCAAACCTGTCATTGATTAGCCAAGGTTTTTAGATTGTGCAAACGTTGTATCCAATTTCGTTTAGGACAATTAAACATTTACCAGAGAATTTTTTACTGACTGTGTACAACTTTCCCTGTGAAAAACCACTTTTGAAAAAATTGATCAGTATTTGAAGACTTTTCCGGTAAAAGGGCGTATGAGGCTTGCAATGCTACTAAGATTGTGCAATTTTTTACAGCGTTTGTGGCAAATTAAATGCATTTACAGTTGACTTACTTCCTTACCATAAAACAAAATAACTCGGAGCAGATTCAAGGAAAAATGTATGGCAGAATTTTTGGATAAGTTACTTACAACTAGAGAACTACTTTGCACAATCTTAGCAGCATTGGAAGTCTCATACGTCCCCTTACCGAAAAATGCCCCATTTGTTTAATAGTATTTGAAGAAAAATGAAAAAAACATTTAGCCAGTCTGGCAAGTAAGAATTATAGAAAAACTTGCTGACAAGCAATGTATTGACCATTGAACTCATCAGGATCTTAAAACTATAGTCAAATCACAGTTAGTTAGGGTTACTGCTTGTTTTGACTTTAAAGACCCATTGTTAAGCATAGTAAAATAATTTTACGGCTCCTTGGTACTTTAAAAATTTTAAGCAAAAAAATTTATGGAAGACCACTTAAACATTCTAGATGGAGCAGTGGAAATGGGTTGTTATTGTTATCGAGTATTTTTACTACGCACTGGGCAAAAATTTGAGCATTTCTGAAAGGCAAACCAGATTTGAATAAATTCATCGTTTCCTGTATCATACCATGAACACTATTCTCAACAACGCAGCTCTGCAAAGACTTGGCACCAATAATATAAAGCATTTTCCACAAACAAAGCAATTTTTAAAATAAGAGCATGAGATGAATCACGCAACGTGCAAAATAAGTGTTGATAACCGCCAAGGGCAGCACTTGTTGATCAAAAGAAAAAGCTAACATTAGGAAGAGGGTATTTTTCCTATTTTCATTGGTTTTTTGGCTGAGGGTGCTCACCAATTAAATTTGAATAGTTCAAGAGGCTAAAGGAAGAAGGAACATAGAGTATTTAAACATGTGTGTTGGCTTCCGATTTCTTACTTACACTAAGTTGAATATCTTTCAAAAGCACGGGCATTGAACAAGTGGTAACATTGTACTTGTAACAAAAAGATATAAAATGCAACAAAATTTAGAAGTTAACTTAATCATAACTGGCAATATATGTACAAAATATTAATAAAAGAGGAGGAAAGAGAAGTGAGAGCTTTTACGCGTCCGTTTCCCCTCCGGCTTTTAGTCGCAGCCGCGCAAAATCTTCAAAAATAAAATCATCGTCTGGCTGAGGAGAGCAGTCCCTACAAAGGAAAACAAACTAATGTTTAATAAATCGATGAAGGAAAAAAAATCAAAAATCTCTTATCTTTAGTATTAGTGACTCATTAAGATCAAAATTGGTTTCATGATTCAGGGATGCAAAAAATCCCTCATCCAGCAATCCACAGCTCACAGCAAACTCAAGGAAAACCTTGAGATCAAAATTAAAAGAAAAGAACATGGAGGAAAATTAAAGGGGACGGCAACAGTGTTCTGCCTTCCCCCTTAAATTTTAGGAGCCACCTTGGCAGGAAAACCCAATTTTTAGGAGCCATCTACTATTTTTTAGGAGCCAAATTAAATTTTTGCATACGGGCCATGGCGATGCTGCGAATAGAGAGCGCTTCATCTCTACCACTGCTTCCCAATTGCGAGTTCAATCTGTCAAATTTTTTAGGCGCCAAGGCCCGATTTTTAGGCGCATTTGGGGCATGGCGCCCGGGGAAGGCAGAACACTGGACGACAACCTTAAAAACAAGTTTGGCTAAATCGACAAAGAAAAGTGTGCAATGAACGATGCCGAAATCTGTTTGCGAATATCTGCATTCGTTGAGCCGCTATCGTGAAAAAACAGCTGAGCGCATGATGTCATGAGCTCCGTCTTGCATTTTGCAGTCTGCACTCTGCATTCTGTCTCTGATGTCAAGTGGCCGACGCGTGTTCACGACAGGTTATTAGTTTGCCACAATCTCGCTCCTTCCTGGCCGACTCTTTTTCTTTGTTTAGAAGTGACTACAAAGGCGACTTCACGGCGCCAGACAGCCAACCACCAGACTTCAAGTTGTGTACATGTGAACCGCAGTCACACCAGGAGCGCATGATGTCAGCAGTCAGACTTACAATCTTTCAGATCTCTGCCGATTTTGCGAATTTTTCATTCAGGACAGAGCCGGGTTGCTTCTTATACCTTCCTGCTTCAATTTTTAATACTATCTCATTTTCGATTTTAGGGTTGCCGTCTCCTTTAAGTGCTTACACCAACACGAACTAAAAATGCCAGCTAACTATTTGATAAGCAGCATAAAAATTAAAGGCAATGTGGTGAAGGGAAAAAAATACTATATCTGAGAAAAAGTCTAAACTTTCTAAATAACAAGGACATATCTGAACTCCTGTCATAATAGAGGAACTGACGCAAGGGCTTGCAGTGCCCATTATCATTGGTCCAGGGATACCCAATTCATGAACTGAGGTTCTGAAAAAGTATTACAGGCACCATTTTCATCCAAATCAAGTTAATCCTACTTCTGGTTATGAAGAATTAATCAACACGCAGCACAGTTGACGAATAAAACGGCTTAGCTTCTTTTAAGCAAACTCCAAAAGACATTAACTTCTCTCCCACACTTGATGAGTTCCAGCTCAGGGTCTGTTTGAGATATTGGCGTGACGGGTCATCAAACGGCCTGGCCAAAATCACGGGCCTTATAAAACGAGACTGAACTCAGCAATTTTCTGATAATTGCGCGCAGCGTCACTTCAGCTTGCCGTTTCAATAATAAGATTTTCACATGATTGAGTCTCACAGACTTTAGATCCCCTCTTAAATTACTTTCTTATTGGGATTCTACCACTCGAATCCATTGCATCATTTATATTAAACACAACAATAATTCATCTATTAAATAAATTAATTCATTGCATTTAAAAATCTGATTAAGTCGAGTATTAAGTGTAACACAGGCACCATGTCTGAGAAAAAGTTTCAAAAGTGCCAAGTCAGGCAGCAGTAGATAGGTTTTAACTGCTTTCCTTGGTGCTTTGGGTTATGTTTAACTGTAAAATTCAAGCTTAACATAAGTATCCCAAACGAAGCGATGAGAATCATCTCCATCTATTAAAAATAGATCCGCTACAATGCTCACAGGATCCTCTTAAAACAAGGTGTCACAAGCACTGATTCCACCACTTTTTCTTATAAAGAACTTCTATTACTCGTTTATTTGAGAAACAACATAAATGCCATAGTTAAGTTACAATGGCTGAGGAACAGTGGTGCCAATTTGACGATTTTGCAGGACAAAGAAGAAACTTGGCGATTTTTGTATATTTGTGGTTAGATTTGCAAATTTTTTAGAGATTCAGAGACTTTACAACGCCCCCTTGCGGAATTGGAAAAAACTAAAAACATGAGCTTGCGTATTTAATACTTCGGAATGCGGGAAAGTTGCTGACTCATTTTCATGAAAATTTGTCAGTTAGGCAGTATTGTTGCTTAGCCCTTGATATGCAGATAGAAGCCTCTATGAGTGAGCTATAAAATGAATGAGCAGTTCTTTGTTGCAAAATGTAGTCCAATATTCACAAGAAAAATTGCTCTTTTCTTGAATGTTCATCAGATCATGTTATTGGCTTATTTAATTCTTTTCATAAAAACAGTTGTGCGGATTTTCGTGCTAAGTTCAGTGAATTTTCTCCACAGTACAAAGCAAATTCCTTAACATTTTCAAAGGGATCCGCACAAACGTTTTCTTGTAAAAAATTAAATTGCTCTGTTAAAATTGGCAGTAGCTGATGTGGCTTGGTTCCTTCGTGTTGAACGTTCCATTTCATGTCGTACTTCCTAATGTGAGTCAAAAATTGTTTTTAATATCTCCTCAGAAGCTGACGATTAAGCACCAGATAATTTCATCTTCAAAGGGGACGATCTGCCTTATTGTGGTAAAATTGGACTGAAAATGTTGACTTTACTTACGTATCCAGTTGGATAAGATTAGTATCAACAGGAACATCACCAGAAGCTTCACCTGCCGAAGGATTGGGCCCACTTGAGGGCACAGAGTCATCTTCTGGCTTGGGATGCATTAGAATGAACGGTAACTCAGCAACTAAATCACTGGAACAATCAAACTTCAAAGTTGAAACGAGTGACATAAACAAATTCTTGATAAGATAATGTAAAAAATGAAGTGTAAAAAAGCAACTTCGCACAGCCAAATCTCATGGTAAATAAGTTGGACACGTTTAATAATTTCAAAATTAACATACAAATGGAAGATTAGCCTTACTCAATTGTAATTGTATTAGAGTTGATCATTCCAAACTTTACGATCGTAGAAAAAAGCAAAACCATTGAGGGTTAACTCTGCAGGTTGATTAATGAAATTGATAGACAAAGTGATGGACAAAAAAGACACAGGGAAAATGGAGTGATCCTATTGGTTGGAACGGGTGGCTCACATAGACTGAGGGAGAAAATGATGGAGTAACTGGAGGGTTTTTCGTGGCTTGTCGTTAGTTAGTCTATTACTTACCTCCTTTTTCCATTGCAAGCACCCGTTTTCAGCAATAGGATTCCTCCGATTTCTCTTCATCTACTTATCAACTTCGACATTCAGCCCACAAGTGTTGGAAAAACATTAACATGTTGGGTTGATAACTAGAATTCAGTTCCAAAATCATTCTTCAGATATATGGTGCTTGTGAAATTTTTCAGAATAATTCAACAGATTTACAAAATAACTTTAGCTTAACATACATGGACTAACTTTATTGCCCAATTTGACGAATGTAGAATTTGCTGTTGTGAGAACCGGAAAATTGAATTCATACACAAGGAAAAAACTTTATTGGATTTTTTAAAATTATTTTAGACGTACACCATTTTCAAAAGGAACTTTCGATGAAAAAACTCAAAATGGAGGGCTTGATTTCTAATGATGAACCTCCAAATATCACAACTAACTGCTTTTGGTTGAATTTTTTTACATCATAAATTTTTTTCAGCGATATGATCAGCACCAATTTTTGCATTGTTGAGGAAATTTCACTATCAACCGAAAATCGCATGAGCCTCTCTCTGCCTCTTTTTTAAATGCAATTCTGCATCTTAGTTCTGAAACTGATACAAAAAGTTGTATACATACCCTCCTAAGGCTCCAAGACAGAGCTTCACTTTAACTTTGTACTGCACAACAATCCCTAGATTCTCCCTTTGAGACGGATCAGCAACACTAAAAATAAATCAGACAGACTTCTATTAAAAAACAAAGGTAACAGAGGAGTTTACAAATTTAATTAATGGAAAGGAGGCAAAAGAGAACAGCCACCACAAGAATAAATTGTTTCATAGGAGTAATGAAACATAGTGAAAATAGAGGTTTTCAACTTCAATCTTTGGAATTCTTGCTCCCCCACTTGAATTGAAATTAATCTGTAAGCAAGATAGGGTTCCCAATATTCTTAAATATTTTCCTGATTTTCCCTGACCTTTGATCAAAACCTCCGATTTAATTTTGTTTTCTTTTGATTACCAACACTGACTTTGGCAAAACTATGGACAAAATCTCCAATTCCAGAGATTCATATTAAAGATAAAGTAACTTTGAAGTTGTTCGTGTTTACTCGAATGGCACCCGTCAAAGTTGCTAAGCGGAAGCACTACTCGCAGAATTCCCTGACGACTTCAAGTTGCCTTGAAGTCCCGGACTTTCCAGGTCTTCCATACTGCCAAAACCTTGCGATCGATAAAGAAAAATATGAAGATTTGTTAATGCCAAGGTTTTTTATGAAATGTAACTAGGTATATTACTTATCGAAAACAGTACATATGACGTCATCCCCTCGCAGTATGCATAGCATGCTTTCCTCCACCTAGGTTCCATAAATCAGAGATACACACGTTTGCATTGGGTGCTTGATTTAAAAAGCAGATGGAACGAAAGTTGAAGAAACCTTAGTATGCACTACCGCGGTAGATGATGTTATACCCTGTGTTTTTCAATGGGCGATATCTCCGTTAAAACTGGGCACAGGGATTTGGCGTTTAAACAGATCTTTTTTAATTTTTGCTAGTCTATGAGGTTAAACAATCAAAACACGATTCAGGAGCTATCACAACTAATCTATTTACTTTTTGGCTGACAATAAGATATAAACCTGCTATTAACAGTAGTTCTCTTGTGCTTCCTTTATACGGATGAGTCAAGAAAAAACATCTCCAAAAGCAAAAGAACGGAGGCTTCGAAGCAAAATAATAAAGTAAAAAATAAGAGGCTAAAGATTCTAGTGTTACACTACACTTTGTCCGGCTTCCTTTCAATTGGATTCTCTTGGCCCAGTAAGACGCAGACTGCTGTTCTGGGGGCTTGCTAGCTGGAATGTGCATCAAGGAATGTTCATTTTTTTCTTTTAAATTATTATAACAAATCTGATGTCAGTTTTTAATACTGTTCTAATGTCACAAAATTCATAACAGCTTTCCTAAAACAAAGGTGTTGACATTGCATCATAGCCATGAATGCTTGTTCCTGTAAAACTGAATAACTCATGATGAAGGGGAAAAAATCATTGAGAATAAATTATCCCCTGTGGAGTTATGCTGTCTGGGGCAACACTATTTAGGACCAATCAGAGAGGCAACTGCAAATTCATGTCAAGTCAAATTAGACAGCATGAGCCAAGCAGTGCATCAGTGAGGCACAGCCGCAGCCTCCTGATTTTGTTTTTAAGCTCAGCAATATCTTTAAAACAACGCTGAGGTTTGAGCAAGCGAATCAATTAGACTTTTAACACATCTTCTTTCTTCATTGATACAAATAATAACTAGTGTTGCTCTCTATAAGGGAGAATTCACTCAAAAGGAGTTCTTTCTCTGTGCCAGAAGTTCTTTCCTTTGTCAAGAGTATTTGATCAACAGCTATGACACAATGTCAACATCTCTCTCAATAATTCAAGAGGTGCTTTATGTCAAGTTTCATTAATTCAGTGAAAGAATAAACAATTAGTTATACAATGTCAAAATAAAAATATTTTCCAAAAATAAGGAATTATTTGTATAAAAGGAGGGGAAAGGAAGAGTATTAATTAAACAAATAAAAGAAAAATGAACATTCTGAGTTGCACATTCAAGCAGGTGGCCTTCCTAAAGCAAGCCCAAGGAGGATGAAGAGATGTAGTGACTGGTTAAAGAATTGAAAATCAATTTCAATTTATACAGCATATTATTAATGATTCATTATCTTTTTTTCATTAATGTTGATAATTCAATTCTTGGCCTTGATAAAACTCTGCGCAGTTGGTCTATTTACTTCTCAACTAGCCGCAGAATCAAACCAATATCAACTATAACCAACTTAGGCGTATCGTTCCTTTTTTCTCGAGTATACTTTGTAATCTGACACAATCTTTTAGAGGATACATGAAATTATTCCCCTATGACTACTTACTCTGACAAATTGGGAAAGTATCTAAGAAAATAAAAAAAAGCAAAAACTGTCAACTTCATGGCTTAAATTTTGATTCTTTGAAACTCATGGAATTCAATTTTGGTTTAAAAAAAGGTGTATAGGATGCATATAGGTTTACAAGCATGCTATTGGAATTGCGGTTAAGGAAAATATCTGAGTAATAATGTCACAAGCTAATTGAATGAGATTGGAGAAAATGGAAGGTAAAAAGAATGGACCACTAAACGGGGTAGGAAATTAAGAGTCGCAATTTACTCTTTGATTGTCGAAATTTTAAGTAAAATACGACAAACTTTCCGAACTCAACTCGCAAAATAAATAGAAAATAATAGTTTTTGTCCATATTAATTCACACTCCCCGATCAAAGAGAAACCTACTTGAGTCAAATCCAACACTAAACGCACCTTAGATACAATGGAAGAATTCGCCTGAGTAAAGACTTTTTTTCTTTTTTCGGGGGGAAAAACTTAAAGATGCGTTATATCAAAAAAGGTAGGCGATGCGTTTGAAACGAGGACCTCGATATTATTTCAAAGCATAGGTTGATTTGATTTCAATGCCTAATTTTGCCTACGCTGATTATGATTTTTTCGAGAGGGGGATGTTTGAATTCTCCGTTGATAATTTAGAATATGAACATTAATTTTGAAAATTTTCGATGTATGGCAACTTGTTCTGCACAAAATTTTGATAAGAGGAGCTATGTTGCCGTGCTTAACTTGTTACCCTGTCGAGAGGATCATTAAACGGGAGAAAAACGAACGGGGAGAGAAAAGAATTATTCAAAATTGATTGAAGACTTTTCCAGAAAGAGCACGTAAAAAATAGCAATTCTTGCGGTCAGTGATGAGATGGCAACCATTTTCGACAGGGATGTTTTTCCAACTTTTTGACTCTTCTCAAATAAACATTGAAGTTCCTTCTGGACGGGGCTCTTCTATTCGAGGAATAAATTTCTGTTCACAAACGAATTATCTGTGATTCCTTCTCCCGAGAGTCCTTTTTTATCTTTATCCAGTAAAATACTGGCCAAAGTTGTACATTATTGTAGTCATTGTACCACAGTCTAAATCCAGAGCATTTCCGTGAATATTTTCTACTCAAGTATACCATAAGGTGTCTTCTTCTTCTTTTGTTGATTTAATGACTTATGTTCAAATTGAGGAAACTACAGCCAACTATAGACAAAAATTGAACTATATGTTATTATAACTTCTGGGAGGTGTAGGAATAAATTAGTAGGAATAGATTATTAATGGGTATAGATTTATAGATATGACCACCACCATTTTCACGCCTAGAGATCTACCATAGTGTTTTGATACAGGCTAAAATTGTGCGTAAATAAAAAATAAGAATAAAAATAAAATGAAATACTGTGAAAATCCACAGTTGAAAAGATTCTTCCAAGATCAATCAAAAGCAAAAAAATGTTTTTTTAAAAAAAAAAAAAAAAAAACTTAATTTCAAGACATATGAAAGCATAGGAAACTAATATAGGGAGAAAAGAGACCACAATTCAGAATCCGAAGACAACAAGGTAGAAGCAGGAAGATAAAACACAGAAGACTGAAAGTAAATCAAGAGCAAAGAAAAAGGAAAACGGGAGGAGAAAAGAGAAAATTGGCAGGGATCTTGATCGGGCTTGAAACTGTGCGCTAAATGACTGTGCTTAACAAGGACCATGCAACTGCATCTCAAATTCTTCCTTAGCGAGGAGATATATTTCCAAAAAATTAAAGTACAAGTACTTTAAGCTTTAATTTTTCAGAATATTCTCATCTCAAGAAAACTTACAAAGCTGAACAGAAAATAAAAGATGGATTTTTAATTGATTATAGTATTTTTAGTGACTAGACAAAACGCCCAAAAAAAAGGACTGGAAAATATGGCATACAGTAACATAATTCTCGTTATGCACAGCAACAAAAAGCACATTGAAAAATACAGAGGGTAGGGTAGTATGCTAGCAGTACGGACAATTGACTTTCATGGCAGCAGAAAATATAAATTTGTCTACTCTACTCAGGCATTGAATTAGGGATGTCCAAATATACTCGAGGGAATGCAGGAAAAAACCAATATCCACCTCTTGCCATAAGATACACTCAAAATTCGTTATAAAATAAGAGAACGTTTGAGCACCAATTTTTCTTGTCTCAATTGATTGATTATGAAAGAATCGGAAAGCCCGTGTTGAAAAATTTTTACCTACAGGCGACGCCTTCCAGACTCCTACTTTTAAAATTTGTGAACTTTGATAAGTTGAAGGACAAATCTTCGGAAGAATTTCAATTCAGCTTTTATCCCAAAGGGAACAATGTCAAGAACTCTTGAGTGCCCCTAAGGATGGAACAGAAATGCTTCCCTTCAAAATCACTTGGAGAGCATGGTGGAAAATTTTTCCAAGGAACAAGAAAACAATCTTCCATTGCAGACATAAGATCTCATTGCTCAAAGTAGAACGACTACACTCAAGAATATTCAGTCTAAAAATTTTAAAGAAATGCCAAAAAAAACTAATTTCGTTCTGATCATGAAGACTTGCAATTGGATAGACCTCTGCCCTCTTACAGTCACACAAGTGAGCCTCAAAGAATGGGGCTCTTGCATGTGTGAGGAATTTGCGATTTAAATGCTGACTCTTGTCGGAAATTTCGCGAGAAACACGATGGGGCCAATCTCTGGAAGATTTCTCTGAAATCAATTCCCATGCTCAAAAAAAGCTCCTCAAGTAAAAACTATGATGGAGGGGGCCATCCCATGCTACGTTGAGAGGCAGCTTGTATATCCTGTCAAACTCTCCATGCAAAGATAGGGAGCAAATACATTAGCAAGCTTGCCTTTTTGTTTGGGGAGCCTAAAGTTCGAACCACTGCAACCCTGCTGATGTATTTGCTCCCTATCTTTGCGTGGAGAGTTTGACTGGATATAGAAGTTACCTCTCAGGGTAGTGTGGGGTATCCCCTCCATTACGTCTCAACTTTGTGAGTTTTTCTTGAGCTTCTGAGTTAGTTTCAGTGAAAACCAGAGGCACCATCGTATTTCTTGCGAAATTTTACAAAGGGATCAGAACTTGGATTGCAAATTCCTGACACAAGCTCGATTGTAGTGTGAAAAGCACTTATGTAAATCGAGCAAAATATTTCTGAGAGAAATGAATTTAACTAAATTTTGCATTGAAGAGACTGAAGCCACTATTCTGCCTTGCAACGAAACAACATATGTATCTTTGTGATCCCCACACAAATAGGTGCTTTTATTACAAATAAGGCATAAATGCTGCCGTGTTACTGAAGAGAGCCAATTGGCCATGGTTAGCACATGCTTGTTTGTGTCTCGAGGCTCATCCCAGACTGCGCTTGCAGCTCTCTTCTGCAACACAGCAGCGTTCATGGCCCATCTGTAAAATCACTCATTTGCATACAGAAACTAATGATACATGTGCCGTTCCTGTAGCTGATAGTGGTTGGCAACAAGGCACCATGGGACGCTCATTGAAGTGATGATGACAACTTCACAGTGAGGAGGGATCATTTAAACCCTTTCAGGAATGCTTGGAATCAATGTTCTGACTACACAGTGAGTAAAACGGAACTAAAAATCAGGCTTTGTTGACTAAAAATGAGAGGAGCAGGCAAAATGTTGCCTTTGGGAAAAATAGTTGTCACTAATATCTATTGTGTTGTTCGTAGCAAAATTTTTTCCTGCATTACCAAACTTATAATGCTTCTAAATAGTAGACCACTAGACAAAATAAGAATATGTACCAGAATCCTGGGACAAGATTCCCCACTAAAAATTCTTGCAGAGCACGTTGAAAGCAAGGAAAAATATCTCAAGAAAGAGAAAGTTTTCTTTTAAAAATCGACATTATTATCAGTCAATTCAAACTTTCTGCTTCCAAAAAAAAAAAAAAAAAAAAAAAATATCTTACCGTTAGGGAGATGGTAAATGTTCGATTCAATTGCTTAAAATAGTTAAGGACTCTGTGAAAAGTAATTCATCTCGATACACACTGAAATTGGGGGCAAAAGGGGCACTTTCTGGTTTCAAGATTCAGTGTTTCAGGATCTCACCTAATAATCAATTCATTTTAAGGAAAAAGAATGCATAGATCTTGTCGAAATTTTTACTGACTATTCTTCAAGATTCAACGATGTTCTACGAAAAAATTTCATGAAAATCACCTTTCAAATTTTACTCTGAAACATAAATTAGCAACAGAGATTCTTAAATAAGACAACCAAGATGTACCCTCATGCACCCAGCGCCTCAATTACGTAGGTGCTTGCATTTTGACTTTCTTCTAATAAAGAGGGAAGTTTGAACTGACAGCAGCAGATAATGTTAATTACTCACCTATGAGTTTACATTAAAAACTTTTGATATGTCCACCTTTTTCTACATGAAATCTTAAAAAGGAAACGAGGAATTGTGTGCTTAATTTCTTGTCCAGCTGAAGGTTCATTGTAGATTTAAAATTAGATTTACCAGTTGTCACTTAAAAATTAGGTTAGAAAACTGCTTGAAATTCCCACAAAACTTTACGTTTCAGCATGATGTACTTCTGCAAAAAAAAGGCTGTCACTCCTGGAAGTGTAATTGGACAGCATTGAGCAGAATCAGTCCGACATTGCCACTCATATTTATATTTCCTTCATGGAAAACTTAAAAATACAATGCTCTAATACTTTCTGTGAATCTTTCTAAATGTATGAAGGATTCTCACGAAATTCCACATTAGCTGTTTTTTATTTACTTTAAAAAAATATCAAACGTGGGCAGAAAAGCAATGTTGATTTTGGTTAAAACTCTCGATTTTGAAATGGTCTAATGGTCCTTCTGGCGCAATTTAGAAGAAACTAGACAATATTGGCGATAATGAGTGGAAACTTAGGAAAATAAAACATAGACTGATGCTCAAAAAATCTCTCTCACCAACCTCCCTCGTTAAAATGCTGCGAGATAAATTGATCAAATATCTGGAAAGACCTCACTTTAACATGGACCAATTAATAGGGTGCAAAATTAGGAACTGCAGAACATCAATAAAGGCTTCTGTATTGACACTTTACTAAGAATCGCCAAAATGTTAAAAAAGTCCAAAATACAACTTTTAGGTCAGAAATCGATAGTTTTTGTCTGCTTTAATTCACATTTCCTACTTACAAAAAAAATCCGAATTTGCTCGAGTCAAATTGAGTACCAAAGTAGTTATTGTTTACTTTACAGTGGATGAATTTTCCTGAGTACTAAATGTTTTTGTGACCAGATTAGAGGTACCTTGTTTCAGAGGAGGAAGGAAATACAAGGGAAAGCAAGCTCTGGTTATTTGCTCATGTATAGGTTCATGTCAATGCCTAATAGGGCCTCCAGTGTTTAAGATTTTTTGACGAGCAGAAAGTTTGAACTTACTTTTCATAATGTTAACTACGAACATTCATTTCTAACACATGAATTAATTTTGAAAGTTTTCAATATGTTCTGCATAAACTTTTCATGAGAAAACATATGATGTACTGCTTACTTTCTTAACCTGTCTAGTGGTCAATTATGAGGGAAAATATTTGACACCCCGATCAAAACCTTGAGAAAAAAAATGATTACGAAGCACTCACAGGGTGCTCGACGCAAGATTTGTATCTTCATGTTTCAATTGACCGTCTAGAGCAAGACCCCATTTGTCTTTGTTATTTGCCAGTAGAGGAGTCAGAGTGAAAACTTTAGATAAAGTGAACCCAGGACCAATGGGACATCCCTCGCTAAAACAGAACAACAATAGGTCACCACCACAAGACACACCACCATTAAAGTTAGTAAAAAAACACTCATTGAGCTTGTCCCAGATATAACTGAAGTAAATTCCAGCCGAGCGTTTCTCATATCCAATGCCAATTAATAAATGAAAATTCAGATAATTTTATAAGTACATCCCCACTGGCAATAACTCGTGAAGCAGATCGTAAAATTAAACCAATACGTCAATAAACGGAAAACCTCTACCTCAGTTTTGAGCATGAAAAAATTTTACGATTTCTTTTTTCTCTTATTTTGAATAATTTTTGAGCAATCTTCCTTGACTGAGACGTACTTGAATCTCGCATTGAAAATGTGCAGATTTGATGTGATAAAATTATTCAACTTATCGTAAAAATTAACATTGCTCTCTTGTGAATTCAATAATAATTGAGAAGGATACGTGATTTGATTGAATATTTGAGAGAAATACACAAAAATAATCACTGTTGTCTTTTAAATTTCTTCAAAAAGTGGAAGTTCAGGATTTTTCTAGCGTTTACAGTTTCTTCAAGAGTCATTGCCACTAGGAATGATTTTGAGGCAGGTTAGTGGTCAAGTGAAACTTCCATAAAATAGTAATGCGATCAACAGATTGAAGAGGTTGCCTGACAACATCTTTCTGCCAACAAGTTACTTGCAGCAAAGGTATTAACCACCAATCAGATCTTTAAAACTGGAAGCATATTGAGCGACTGACAGTCACCAAACCTCCGATCAACCTGCACTTCATAGACTACAAAAAGGAACCATTGATTCAATATCCTTTTTATTAAAAGAGCTGGGGAGTTTAGAATCAGAGAAAAAGATGAAAGGTAGACAAGGCTGAGAGAGAAAAGAAGGGAATTTACTTCATTTACAGCAGGGAAAAAGCTCCTAGTAATATTCAAAATCATCCTTCACCGTTTCAGCCAAGGTTTTTTTCCTCTTGACTCCCATTGCCAGCAGTGTTAATACACGTTGGTGCACCTATTTTCCTCTAAAATTAATTCCTCACTCAAAATAAAATTCTTCAAATTGAGACTCTAAAGAAGATAGCCTGCGCCTACAAGACATATCACCTCTATAATAAATTAAACCCTACATGCAGAGATAATACCAAATGCATTGGCAGTACTGCTGCAATAAGCAAAACCGCTAAACAAACAGATGTGACCAGATCTGTGAAAGGAGATTTTATCTTCCAGGAGTGAACTGTCCAAGAGAGCAAAATTTACCGAAAAATTTCGAAATTGACAATTCCGAGTTCTTAATAAGCAACCCTTTCAAGAAGCCTTTGGAACAAGCTACATGCCGTTTTAGTTTAATTTTCTCGCCAAAGAGGGTGCTGGCTGCTCTTTTTCTGTGCGTATGTAGAATTACAGAATATTTAACTTAGAGCATAATTTTTTTACTTGAAACTTGCATACCTCATACCTTCCTCAATTTTTGAGCTTTCAGGGTCAAACTTGCGCTGAAATTTCCTCATTTTCTGACTCTATGCAGAGGTATCAACTACTCAAAGAATCAATCGAAGATATAAGATCCATTTTTACCCATCTGGTCACATGTAGACATTATCGGGTTGCCTCTTATAAAATGTTCATTTTTGAAAAAGTTAGGAACACTTCTCCTTCAAATTTTCAAATACATGACCTTAAATTACGACCAAAATTCTCTAAAAATCTCAAGGAGAAATATTCAAAAGTTTTCCAAGAAATTAAAATTTGATTAGAAGAAACCTGGCGATGCCTGAAAGTGTAAAGAGCGTTCTTACTTGCTACAACAGAGTATTGACATGACTGTTGTTATATATTATGATTTTTGAGTCGTATATTTTGGCGACATATTATTTTGTCGCTATCATGGCCATCAGAATGATATTTGAGATGTTGGATTTATGGCTGCGCCTCTTAAGAAATTTGAAAAATTAAGGGACAGGCGGTTACTACACAAGTTTTCATGTAATATCCTGTGCGAGCGCTCCCTGCTATCACTCTGGGGAGTGTTGAAAATCATGGTCGTCACTTGACAACAAAAATGGCAACGGTGCGGTAGCCGTACAAAACATGCCCCAGCTTTTTCTTATGGTATCAATCAAAAATGCTAAACATCACACTCGGATGGTGTTCAAGATGACAAAAAAAAAATACTAATAAAAATCAAAGATTTAGAACTTGGAAGTCACTGAACAGAGTTGCTACCCTGCTAATGTGTTAATGAGTATAGAGGTGGACTTTCTTGTAGGAGTTTGGCTATTGCATTAATTAGACCATCAAAAGTAAAAGCTTTTTTTGAGCTTAAGAGTTGACTTAAGAAAGGACCAAGCACCGTCCTGTTTTTTTAGAAATGTTACTGGTAAATGGTTACTTTGAAAATGTCTGCAGCATGCAGTCCCATTGCAATTATCTCTCAAATGTTTTCCTTGTTGACACCATTACTACGCTTTGTCCACACATGCTAAGTTCCCAGAACTTTTGAAAAATAAATTATGACAGAGTTACAACTTACTTAGTCTTCACACAGAAAAGACAATGTGCAGCTGAGAGTTTCACGAACCACTGCTCATGTGGACAAGGCCTTATGGATGCCTTGATCAGTGATGGGTCAGTTGCACTGGTCTCAGAATCGTATTTTGATGCTTGATTCTTGTCAATCAGTTAAAATATTAAGATCCGTCCACACAACAACTTTCTATATTCAATAGTAACCAAGATGCACTTTGAAAAATTCGGTTTATGACGTCATCCACCATGGTAATGACACCCTTGATTTCTTCCACCTTGCTTTCATCCAAGTTACAAGTTGAGTAACCAGTACAAATATCTCCCTGACTAATGAAAGCAAGGTGGAAGAAACTAAGGGTGTTACGACCACGGGGGATGACGTCATAAACCGAATTTTTCAGAACGCAATATCTTGGTTAATATTGAACGTAGAAAGTTAATGTTTGGACAAATCTTAGTATTTTTAGCTGATCGACAAGAATCAAGCATCACAATATGATTCTAAGACCAGCGCAACTGACTCATTGCTGATGAGTCCACTAAAATATGCCACTTTCTACACGAGGTTACTCCTAGAAAAAGTGAGATGCAGAAAGAAAAAGAAGAAGCAGAATGAAAGAAGTGAAGAAGACAAAAGCTGGGCGGAAACGGTAGGAGACAGTGCCTTGAGGCTAGATATTTGACTTAGCAATGCTTCTCACATGGTGGATGATGCTAGGTTGGTATCTTCGTGTTTCAACTGACCATCGAGCGCTAGGCCTCGCTTGTCTTTTTCCGCCGTCGGCCGGAGCATGAAGACCTTGCTCAGAGTAAATCCAGGTCCAACACAAGTTCCGGCTCTGTACATACGCACAATCTCACAGAAAACTTGACGTAGGCAAAATTGCATCTTACACCACAATAAGACCTTTGCTTTCCAGCTCAAAAGTCTTGAGACACATCTGTTATAGATGCTAAAATAAACAGAAATTTCTTGCGCTCGCCTCCGGACTGATTTACTCCCAATTAGATTCAGTTTGGCTTAAGGTTCAATTTTTCCGAATTGCAAGAGCAGAAAATCTGGTAAATATTCAGCAACTCTTCTTGCAGCAAAAATTACTGTAATTCACCTTTCCAAAACGACTAGTTTCTTTCAAAGATTACGATTCACATAGATCTCCGGACCTCCAATCAAGATTTCAAGACACAGTTGACCCCAGATTGTCTGAAAATGGTATTATGTACCTTTGCTTTATACTGGCATGTCTGAGTGTCATAGAATCGTCGGCCAGCTACAAACTTTTGTAAATGATATACATATATACTTTTCAGGAACCACATCTTATAATGTCAAAACGCACTCCAATAGCATTATTTTTTCGAGGATTATTAGGATTATTTCGAGTTGGCAACAGAAAGAAATAAGTAACATTCCTTCGAAATCTACCTGGAAAAAATTGTTTGTGCGTCGAGCTAAAAAGACTATGACCTCTTTGAAAAATAAGAAAAAATAATGAAAATAGAGAAACTTGTGGAGAGAACTTACTCGCTTTCAGCTTCTGCAACGGTGCATTTGTATTGTGCAGTGGAAAATAAACAAATGTCTGCAAACTGTCGAACTGGAAAATAGGTGGAAAAAATATCATTCTAAGGAGTAAAACATACACCAGCAATACACCTTTTCTACAATGTAAACACTGACAATTTGTGAATTGAGAGTACATGCAGGCATTCATGACGCTGGGATGTAGTTGCATACTGAGTTAGGATTCATTTCGTAGTTTTTCAAAAATTCAAAAACGATACATGTATCATCCTTGTCTCTGCTCCAATTTTAACATATGTTTCTTCAGGTCAAAATAGCTTCAAAAAAAAGGAAAAACTTTAAAATTACTGTACGTTTAGTTTAAATTATCCTCATGAGAAATTCATGATTTTAAAATAAGTTAAAAGACTAATTACTTCAGACTTCTTCTGGCTCCTTTACTTTTTATTGTTCTCAGTGTATTGAAACATGATCAAACTATGAAATATTTAACACATTCTCACAACCGTCTTTTAACAAGCAACAACACTGAGCTGAACTTTTCAAAAACCACAGAATGCAACCTTCTTCTCTCACTTCGAACGCAAATATATCTTGTCAATGGAAGTTGCGACATCACAAGAAGAGTTGGCCACCTTGTATCATTTCACCTCAGGTAGGTTTATTTACTTTCAGGTCTGAATTGTAACAAGAGATTATGTACTTTGACCATACTTACAATATTATCCCAAATTGAAGTGAATATTGGTGTCATTTATTTAAAACTACATCGTTTGTTTGTGCTCGAAAACGTATTTCTTACTAAAATCTGCACAATCTACACCTAATGCCGACGCAATTTTATGATCTTGCAATGGCCCTGTTTAATGTAACTCACATAGTGGCATAAACTTTTGAATGATATATTTTGGGAAAATCATTATTCTTCATAATCAAAAAACTTACTGAACATGAACAACTACATTCCAATTTTACTGGAGTTTCAGAAGTTTTCCCTTAGAATTAAGAAGTTGAAAATAGTCTATTATTTGAAAAGAAATCATATTTCAACCTTGGAATGGGCCTGTTGCAAACTTTTGCTATATCAAAACTAAGATTTGTTTCTTATAGATAATGCCTCAAAAATCACGATGAGCGCATTGGCAAAGTCTGAAATGCACTCATAACTTCACAATCTGCGTAAGAAATTTGCGGTTTTTAGAGCTTCCCGCTTCAAAAACGATACTACGGCACAGGTGAACATTTTGTTAGAGGAGGCGTTCCATCGTCGGCAATATTCATCATGGCCGACGCCAATTCGCCAAAACACGTATGATGAGACGAGATAACACCTGAACAGCATTAGACCAGATAACAATCGGCGTGTTTACGTTCATATTTTCCTCGCCCGCCTTGATTGACTCTGACCTCACCTCGAATTACGCGCGGAACTGCGGAAGCGTCGGCCATGATGAACATTGCCGACGATGGAACGACTCCTCTAACAAAATGTTCACCTGTGCCGTAGTATCGTTTTTGAAGCGGGAAGCTCAAAAAAACGCAAATTTCTTACGCAGATTGTGAAGTTATGAGTGCATTTCAGACTTTGCCGATGCGCCCATCGTGATTTTTGAGGCATCATCTGTAGGAAACAACTCTTATATTTGCTCTAGCAAAAGTTTGCAACAGGCCCATTAGGCCCTCACAAATGATCTACTAATGAGAGTGATAATATGAACGTTACCTGATACTTTGATTTTTTTCACAGTTCTATTAGAATTATTTGCTATATGTACATTGACAGATATTGTTTCTCCATGATGATACAGCTGTTGGCAAATAAGTTGAAAATACATCATAAGCAATTAATAATTATAATAGGAAAAAAGAGATAAACATTAGTCTGAGTACAATTGCGAGAGAACTATGTGGTAATTTTGATGTAGAAATCACCAGATTTAATTTTTTCCTGTGCAGATACTTATATGCTCAAACATGGTGGCTCCATTTTTACCAAAGATGTAGCTAAAAAGGGGCATTTTTTATTTATTCTTCAGTGGTTTGCTTTCCCGATAAACTTGTACTTCAGTTTTTCCAAGAAAAGTTTTGTTCCTTCAAATTTTAGTGCATGTAATAGAGGATAATCAAAATCTCAACTAAAAATTTACATCCTTTACACAGAAATAATAAATTGATGATCATATCTTCGATAGAAAAAAGTTACATTTAATCCACCATTGAATTCAACCATCTGTAGACGAAGTGTCATGTGTAATAGTATACGCACATTCTTTGTAATGAATTTTTACAGAGAAATCAACAAGACAAAAAAGGGTAGAAAGGATGAGAGTGATAGCTATAGAGAACTGTCAGTCGCAGGTGCCCTAAGCAAGGTATACGGAAAAATTCTGAAAGCTAAAATCGAGGATGAGTGGCAATAACATGAAGCGAAAGAGCAAGCAAGTTTCAGAGCTGGTAGATCAACGATTGATCACTTATTCACCATCATCAAGGTGATCGAGAAAAAGGAGGGATTAGGCCAAGAATTACATCTAGTGTTTGTGGATCTCCAGAAGGTTTACGATAGGGTGCCATTGGTGAAACTTTGGGAAGCCTTGAACATAAGGGGTTTTGGTAGGGGACTATTCAGTGCGATTAAAAAAATTTATGATGGGGCTTTTTCTAAGGTTAAATCCCATGGGGAGTTATCTTTGGGGTTTTTCATAACTAGGGGACTTAAACAAGGGTGTTGTTTTTCTCCAACCTTATTTGAGGTGTACCTTGAACAAGTTTTAAAGGAATGGAAGAAATGCTGTTCAGAAATGGGCGTCTCGCTACAGGAAGATGGCACCCTTTATTCTCTTGTGTTTTGATGATGATCAGGTGGTAATAGCTCAGGGCGAGGAAGATGGTAGTTACATGACGCGCAAGTTAGTGGAAGTATGCTGTAAATAAGGATGGAAGTCAGTGTTGTTAAGACGGAGAAATTGGTTTTTGGTGGTGATCAGCAAAATATGGAACTGCAAGCATGGATGCATGGCCGGAGAAATCAGGACTGTGAAGAGTATATATATCTAGAAGTTTGGTTAACTAAGGATGGAAATTTGGATCAGGTTATTAAAGATCGGAATATGCAAGGCAGGAAAGCTATCGCGATGCTCAATGGAGTTCTCTGGGACCAGAGTATCTCTAAGGAAGATCAAAGAAAAATTTACGATGGCATTGTAAAGAGTATTGTAGCTTACTGGAGTGAGGTTTGGCAACTGAAGAAAAGAAGTGAAGACATGCTTAGAGCAACTGAGATGGACTTTTGGCGGAGGTCTGCTGGGTTCTCAAGAGGAGAGCGTTTTTGCAATGAAAAGGTGGGCGAGATAATGGGATGGAGCATGACATCAAGCGCGATATCAGGTCCAAGCAGTTGGTCTGGTATGGACTTGTGCGAAGGATGGTAGAGTATCTGTTGCCCAAGCAGATTTTCGAACGGGTTCCTCCCGGACGGCGACGGCAAGGACATATTGTGGAAGGTTGGCGACAAGGAGTGGAGGAGGAGATCAAGAGGTGCCAAGCACCTGATAATCTATGGAAGGATAGGGAGAAATGGCGATTGGGCATCGCAGAGCACAAGGCTGCACTGTCTGTATGCATAAACAAGACATCTACTCAAAATGTGATTTTTTCCTCCAGAGAGAGCCTTGCAAAGGACTACGTGCAAAACGGGCCATTTGGGGCTCGGGTCGGATACATTTGAGACTTGCCCTATTCATTCACCTTACAATGCCCCATCTTTTCCCAAAGTTTCAAGCCCTCCAAAATTTTGGGGAGACGCGGCAGGGGGTCAAAGTTAAAAACCGGAAAAAATTTTCGCGAATTTATTACTTGAAAACTAAGAAGTTTTGGAAAATGCGGGTTAAACGAGCGTATTTAGCGTGACAAGAGCTTTCAGAAAATGTATAACATCATAGGGTTTTGTCAACTTCAGCTCGAGTTATCACCTCCGAAGCGCCGGAACACTCAAAAAAGTCCCCTTATTTTTTCACGTTTGGGCCGATTAAAAAAAAAGCCATTTCTTCATTTTCATGAAAAACTGATATGTTGTTCCTGACTCTCTGTAGCCCCTCTAGCTCTTTACCGCATGCTGGGGAAATGTTTTGGTCGCGAGTTATAAGAGCGGAAAGGAGCGAAGGTCGGGAAAATCGGTTATTTTGAACTGCGCGCGCGGCGTTGATCGGAGGGAAAACGTCCTCTCCCACGCAGTTCGGCAAATCACACTCCTCTGCCAACCTCGCATTGTTGCCACATGCCTCCTGATCCGTCGCCGCGCGCAGTTTAAAATAGCCGATTTTCCCGACCTTCGCTCCTTTCCGCTCTTATAACTCGCGACCAGAACATTTCCCCGGCATGCGGTAAAGAGCTGGAGGGGCTACAGAGAGTCAGGAACAACATATCAGTTTTTCATGAAAATGAAAAAATTGGCTTTTTTTTTAATCGGCCCAAACGTGAAAAAATAAGGGGACTTTCATGAGCGTTCCGGCGCTTCGGAGGCGATAACTCGAGCTGAAGTTGACAAAACCCTATGATGTTATACATTTTCTGAAAGCTCTCGTCACGCTAAATACGCTCGTTTAACCCGCATTTTCCAAAACTTCTTGGTTTTTGAGTAATAAATTCGCGAAAATTTTGCCGGTTTTTAACTATGACCCCCCCCCGCGTCTCTCCAAAATTTTTGGGGGGCTTGAGACTTTGGGAAAAGATGGGATATTGTTAGGTGAATGAATAGGACAAGTCTCAAAGGTATCCGACCCGAGCCCCAAATGGCCCGTTTTGCATGTAGTCCTTTCCATCACAAGATTCAGTTGAGTATCAACTCTCAATTTTTGCTGTGGGGGCAGTGGGAAAGCAATTATTGATTCTTGAATGGACATGATTAATTTATTTTAAAGTACCTCTTTATCTAAAGATGCTTCTAGATGTAGCTTGTTAGGACTCATCATGAATTCTTTGCTAACTTCCACAGACGGCTGCTCTCCTTGCTTGCTTGGAGCATACATAATTTTGCGGATTGCAAGCCGCACAGAATTCCTGTTCAACAAAAATTCCAAAATCAATTATGAAGAAAAATGCCTTGCTGTGAAAATGTTGCTGACTCGGCAGGAAATATTCCAATTATTAGAACAGTGCAAAATTCTAAGTTAGAAATTGCTTTATCTTTCAATCATGTAGTAAAAAAAAGGGTCTCATTGTTCTTAGATGACTGCAAAATTTAGTCGGAAAGAAAAGAGATGTATATCCTCACAGTTGCTCTTATTAGTGAAAAATTAACTTTTTCAAGTGCTCAACTTAGATAAGACAACCAAAAAATGTTTTAAAATAGTTTGGAAAACTAAAACCAAAACTTCCCAAAAAATCAAACTTTTAAGAAACCAATATAAAATTGAAAGTTTAATCTTTGATTGATTGAACCAAAATCTAAAAATGCAAAGATTAGGCCTTAATTAACGAACAAAACTTGCAGAGGTTATGGTTATGGTCATGATCAATGATCAATGCGTAAAAAGATACTCTTAGGTTATATTCACTTATGTTCCAAAAAATAAAGAAAGAAAGAAAAAAAAAGGTTTAGGGAGGTATATATTGAGAACTAAGAAATAAACAAAGGGCTTGAAAAATTCTTCAACTACAAAGAGAACTGCACAAAACATTTACTTTCTATGTTTTGGAATTAGTAACTGAGCAGTGAAAAGGAAGCTAATGATTCTTGATTGATGAGCTGAATAAAAGTAATAAAGGCTAACGGTAAAAAATATCATTAACTGAGAACAACAAGGAGACAGAAGGAGGTCACAGCTTGAATAAAAGGTGCGTAAGGGGGGAAGGGAGGGGTATGGCACCTAATGACAGACGTGGAATTATTTGGTAGCTTTAATGTAAATATTTGGAAAAAAATGAAAGAGGTAATTTTTTGGGGTCTAAAATTCCATTTTTCAGCATGATGCAAATTGTGATCGGCCCCTTATGATACCGCAACAGAGACTTACCTTTTATGAGGTTTATCATCTTGGGTTTCTCCTATAAATGCTTTTAATTCATAATCAACGCCGCAAGGCTTGCCTGTGTCACCTGGGGCAGGCTGCAGTGTGACGGAGGCCGGGCAATGCGGTGGGAGCTCAAAGTAAAATGGAAATGCATTGCGTCCGAGTTTCTTGATTAGCCTTTCCTAAAAAATTAAGTATAAAAAAAGTTGACCGTTAGGATTAGGTACATTGATATTAATCGAGAAAGACTCAGGGGCCAAAACATATATACAGGAGAATGGCTGAGAACTGAAATTGTTTCAGGTTTAATTGGGATGAATTCAGGGAGCAGCATCAGCTGTTCAGCAGCCCAACCACAGACCTCTTGCTTCTATCGATATTGACAGAACTACGTTCCATTCCAATAGAATACCCTTCGAGGGCAACCACAGACCTTGATCTATAGAAACGGCCTTTGGAAAGCTGTTCAATTGCTCATGGGTCGATGGAACTGCTCGATTCCATCGAAATAGAGGTTCTTAATTAATATCCTCACCTTCCTAAATCTTAGAACCCAAAAAAAAACAAAAATATTATAAATCCTAATCCACCATATGTTCACTTTGAATGTTATCCATGACCCAGTATTCCCCGGTATAGGAAGTCGCTTAGAGGGGTCTCTAAGCGTGAAAATGGTGATTGTTAGAATAAACAAAATACCCTACCTTCTACTCATACCCTTACCCATTCATGTTCATTAAAATCAAGTCTGAAACTCTGTCTATAGATGGCTGTGGGTTCCACATCTGGAATATAAGCCAGTAAACCAACAGAGGAAGAAGAAGAAGAAATTGAGGTTAGGGTTCTCCTTTTGTTTATGTGCTTCTCACTCGTCGGCCATCAAAGTTGATCTGGTTCAAGTTATTGGTTGAAACCGAAATTTTGAGGTTAGTGTATCTCTCGTCATTAATGTTTTTCAAACTGCCTCTTCTTCTTCGATGAATGTATCAAGGATGGTGATTGGTTGAGAACAATTCCCTCTTTTTCAGTTAATCGCTCAACATTGCACGCCTACAATTGTCGTTCCATTTACGTCCAAGGGTTGCAAAAATTCTAGCAATGGAGCTGCTATGGAACAAACTCACACTTCCATCGCCAGGAACTATAGAAGTCTGTGGTTGGGCTGCTGGCAGAGATAATATGTTTGCCGTCATCCATTGATTTGCACAAAATAGCAGATACCTCAAGAAGAAATTGTGAACAAATTAACTTGTTTCCCCTCGATCAAGAGATATTTCAATTGCATATGGATTACATTTTCCATTAAGGAGCCATTATCTCTGGCACTCCCATAAAAGCACAAATCTGCATAGGGAAACCAGTGACATGTATGTTGTTTCTAAAATGTGCCAGAAATAGTGGCTCCTAATTGCAAAGTGTAATCCATATACACTGAATCTTCGATGCACAATTGCAAGCACACCATTCTTTTTAAAATATTTCTTTGAAAGAGGAGGTAATTATTTATTTTTTCTTTATTCACTTAAACAGCAAATACATTCTGAATCTCAATCATACATTCAAATTAGCTTCCTATTGTGAAGAAAACGAGGCTTTTGGAGACAAATTAGGCTGTTGGGTAAACATTGAGCCTCCTGCAAGGAAACTGAAACTGGTCACTCAATGAATAATGAGAATTGAATTGAATGAATACTTAAAGTTCAATGAGTACCACAAAACAGTATGTAGCAAGTATGATTAAATCTCCAAGAGTTCCAAAAAGTTGACTTTGAAAACACTTCTTTTAATAATTTTGTACAAAGAAATTTGTTGGCCTCAACGTACGCTTGTAGCTGAGCCAAGAAACGCAGGGGTACAGAAAATGTCCGATCAACCACATGCGAGTGCATGGAAATGTGGAATAAGGGGAAATTTACAAGGTTCAAAAGGTGAAAGTCGAAGAAAAAAATAAGGAAAAGGTCATTACTTTTGAAATAAGAGGGAAATTTTGGGGAAAGGCATAAGAAAAATGTGAAGGCTTGGAGGATTCTGCACTCCTGTTCGAAAGATATACAGGGTGATCCAGAGGTCCCTTCCACCCCCTCTAACTTTTTACCTAATTGAGGTAAAGATTTGAAACTTGGGGGATGTTCCTGGGTCAAAGGGAGCTACTTTTTGGCCTCCCTAAAATGTTCAGGGGGCCCCCCTTAGGGGAGCAACAGACCCCAACTTTTAATTTTCAAATGAGTAGACCCCTTTCGTGATAGCTCGTTCAAAAGAGCATGAAAAAAGAAAACTTTTTGCACAAACTCAAAGTCAATACCTCAAACCGTTTCAAAATGGCGGCCGGTTAAAGTTCAAAACGACCAAAAATTCACACCGGTTATTTGTTAATAGATTCAGAAAATCGAAACACAGAACACTAGAAAATCGGTGTCTTAAGGTATTTTGACACTAGAAAAACGATTTTGACGTTAGATTTAAAAAAGAACCGAATTTCCAAAATGGCCGCCGGTTCAAGTTCAAAATGACCGAAAATTGGTTTTTTCAGAAATCCAAGTTCAAACGTGTCAATTTTTTTGCTAAAATACCCTCAAATTCCAAGTTTTAGGCAAATCCATCAGCAAAAATCCGAGGTGGCAATTTTCGGCCATTTTGAACTTTAACTGGCGGTCATTGAGGAAATTCGGTTTTTTTTTAAATCTAACGTCAAAATCGTTTTTCTCGTGTCAAAATACCCCAGGATACCGATTTTCGAGCAAATTCAGTGACAAATAACCGGTGTGAATTTTTGGACATTTTGAACTTTAACCGGCCGCCATTTTGAAACGGTTTGAGATATTGACTTCGGGTTTGCGCAAAAAGTTTTCTTTTCTTATGCTCTTTTGAACGAGCTATCATGAAAGGGGTCTTCCCATTTGAAAATTAAAAGTTGGGGTCTGTTGCCCCCCCAAGGGGAGCCCCCTGAAAGTTTTAGGGGGGCCAAAAAGTAGCTCCCTTTGACCTAGGAACATCCCCCGGGTTTCAAATCTTTACCTTGATTAAATAAAAAGTTAGAGGGGGTGGAAGGGACTTTTGGATCATCCTGTATATCATCAATAAGAGAGTTTAGTAACAGTTACATAAATTCCGGAAAAGAAGGGGTATCGATAAGAGCCTTTTTTGGCCCCCTCCTAGAATCTGGAAGATGCGGGTTTTCTAAGTTGGCTCAATGTAGTTTACGGAAATAATCTTGATTTAGCCCCCAGGCTACTGTATATGTGTTAAACGGTTGTCTAAACATAGGTCTGCAGGCGTATTTTAGCGCAAATTCGTGTTTTTTTATCACTCCGAGGCTTTTTTGACAGCGAGCGCAACGTCTAACTAGAACGAGCTTTTGATATGTTATCAAGGAGACTTCGGGATACATTTTAACCCTGGTTTGGTTGTAGTTAGATGATGCGCTCGAGGTAAAAAAAGAACTTTCTCATCCGCAAAAATCATAGGGAACATGTCTCTCCAACTGTATGCACGCTCCGTATTATTATCGAGGGCAGTTATCAAGCCTTGTTAAACCCTTAAAAGGAGATTTTATTTAATTGTAGTAGAAAAAAAAAACCCTAACGACGTAATTCCCTAAGATTTTTGCGGATGTCCCATAAACGTTGACTTTTGAAAAAGTTTTCTTTTACTATGAGCAGATCATCTAACTAAAACCAAATCAGGGTTAAAATGTGTCTTAAAGTCTCCTTGATACATATCAAAAGCTCGTTCTAGTTACACAATGCGCTTGGTGTCAAAAAAGTCTCAGAGGGATAGAAAAACACGAATTTGCGCTAAAATACGCCTGCAGACCTATGTTTAGGCAACCGTTTAACACCTATCCAGTGGCCTAGGGGCTAAATCATGATTATTTCCGTAAACTACATTGAGTCAACTTGAAAAACCCGCATAAATTTCCAGATTCTAGGAGGGGCCAAAAAAGGCCCATATCGATACCCCTCCTTATGGGCTGAAAAATTAAGAGGATAGGAGAGCCCTAAATAAATTAAAATCAAAGGAATTTAAGCAAAAATGAACTCTGATCTTCAATTTTTTCATGAATTGCCATTTGTGACAGATATGACTTAAAATGACTGATATCTCATAGTTCTCACTTCAAAAATGTCACTTATCTGCCTATCACTTTCAAATCTTTACGGACGTAAATGACGAGAAAAAATCCACAAGCAATTCCACTGTCGAGGGCGGATTTGAAAGCCGTGTTAAAAATCCTCCTTTATCCTTATGTACTGATGAAGACTGAATTGATGAGATAAAGCCTGTACCTGCAACCTAGTTGTTTTCCTTTGAGGAGTGGTACCATCTTGAGGGTAGATTTGTTCAGCAGCTAAATAAAGATCTTTACGGAATGTGAGTCCTAGAACATCCAAATCCTCGCGCCCATATCGGAATGCAGCCAGAACATGACCGAACACCTTACGTTGCTTCACATAATCTGGATCAATTAGGACAACTCCATCTAAAATTAAATACAATAAAGGTAAACCTTTAACTTGGACAAGAGCTCCTCTCATTTTTGCTTTACAGAAGGCGAGTGTCTCCATATTGATGGCTAAAAGGCAAAACCATGTATCTCTATTACTATATTTCAAAATTTCTCCTCTCATTTTATTTTTTTGTAGATAAACAGGCCAAATTCATGGCTTGAAATTCACACAGAATGTTATGCCTAAAGAGAAAATAAATCAAGGAAGTTTTCAAGGAATTACGTTGAGTCGCTTTCCAAGGAAGAAATAAAGTATGCAAGACGTCTGCAATGACTCAATCGGAGATACCTGATTTCGCACTTCGGCCATCAATGTGTTCTAATCCTGATCCATAGGCGGTTTAAATCATGCCAATACAATGGGCAAACTTTTTCTAGAGCAAAAATAAGAGTTGTTTCTATCAGTAGATGTCTCAAAAATCTTGCCAGCACATTGGCAGAGTATGAAATGCGCTCCTACCTTCACAATCTGCGTAAGAAATTTACGTTTTTAAGAGCTTCCTCCTTCAAACACAATACTACGGCACGGTGAACATTTCGTTAGAGGGGTCATTCTATCCAACCCCTGTTCACTAGGAAACCCCAAAAAACTTTCAGATTCTAAGGGGTAAAGAATCCGGCCAAAGTCTTAAACTTCTTGAACCAAATTTTCTTATTACTCGTAAAAGAANAGAGCATTGTGACCGTGTCGCAAGTAGTGTGATGGGAGAAGGCTCATATTACAGTAATTTTTAGATCTTTTCTTGAGACTGATAGGGTCCACTGAAAACAACTACATCTCATCAAGATATGAAAACTAGCATTCGTGACTTGAGGAAAACAATAATGTAATTAAAAACTGAGAGTAATGGGCTCTCCCTTCGATCCATCGGTGTGCATGGTAGGGAAATATTTGGATGCTGTTAGTCACGAGAATGCAAACTGGTGTAAATCCTGCTTCCTTTTGATAGTTTGGCACAACTTTGGTGTCCTTTTATCGACGTAATTTACCTGAATTTTGGAATCCGAATTACATTCATTGATGCTTGGGTCAGACCATTTACGTATATGGGTCAGACTCAGACATGTACACCCGACACCGACTGATAACCTCACTTCTGAACAATGACATCACTTGAACACTTGAAACTAATGAAATAGTGTATCGGGCTCTGGCAGAAGACGTGCGACGTAATAATATAAGTGTGTAAAAATATTAGTTAGCTTCTACAGAGAATTGAACTCTTATATTAAATTAAATCATAAATCTGTTCTCAAGTAGTTAGAGTTGGAAGTTGGTATATTGGTAACTAGGGAAATTTCGTTCCGGAGACTGGCTGAACTGAACAGAATCGACCAATGGAATTGAACCACTATACCGGATTTTTCTAAAATTCAAAAACATTGTAGCTAAAATTTTGAAAGTTATTTGCCGATGCTGAATTATCCGAGCATTGAAACCCTATTAAATGTGGTATAAATGAAATCCTTATATCCTCAAGCAGGGCCTTTCTAGGTTCCATTAGAATCTGTGGCCTTGTAAGAGAGAAATCTGTTGTGAAAGGTGATCATGTCGGTTTCCCGCTACTGAACGGCCCATGTTACAAAAAATATTTGTCATTTTGGGCCTTTAAGTGCTTATAACTTTTTGAAAACTCAATGGATCTGGATGAAACTTTCCCACTTAGTAGGCCCAATTTAGGTGCGTCAGTAGACACCAAGATCAATGGAATCCGTGCCGTCGTTTGGGCTGCAGTCGAGTTCGAGTCGAATCAATTTTCAGAATAAGGGAGTTACGTGTGTCTATGGTTGGCTGCCACCTTTTTCGTTTGGAGGCTTTCCAGTGTTGTCGAGTTTAGACTTTGTCCGGAGGTGGCTACCGCCACCCATGATACTACACAATATTCAACATGGCCGACACCAATCCGCCAAAACACATGTGCCTGGATGAGATTTTAATCATTTGTTAACAACAAAGCGTGTTTACATTCACGATTTTTTTGTGTTGATAAGGATCCACTTTGGTTGACCTTATGTTCCCTATTGCGATTTGCAGCAAAAATTAAAAAACCCTTTCACAGGGCGCCCCCCCCCCCCCCCCCNTCGAAATTATGGATGTGCAAAAAATTAGTTCTTCTTGGTCAAGAAACATTCCCCAAGTTTCGTCTCAATAGCTTAATTACCTAGGGAAAATTTTGGGGGGGGGGGGGGGCTACGGATTTTTTAGACACCCTGTAAATTTTTGTATCTTCTGGTTTAAACTTCCTGGCAGAATAGTGTGAACTCAGCACTTTTCTACCATCTTCTTATAATAATTATAGGCTTGCCTATTTTAACTGAAACTGATAGATTAGACAAGCTGAAGGGACTCATAGGTCACTGCTTGTACTTCTAAAAAAATATAGTCACTAATTAATGACTTACCGATCGGATCTACGTGAGTGATATGATCAACGAAGTCTCTTTTTCCCAGGTAAACAGTGATCTAAAAAAGAAAAGAAAAATGAAAAACACACTGAAAGCATGAAAGGCAGTTTTGCTTAGAGGCAATGACACTCTTTGTCAATTTGCAAGTATATTTTTCGAAAAGTAGAAAAATAGAATAAAATACAAAAAGTAAAAAACCAGAACTCATAGGTCCTGAAACGCTAAACATGCTGTTACATCATTTATTATGCTGATGATGTTTAGTTAACTTGTGAATAGTAGCCGTCTTTGATTTTGTCTGTGAGGATTCTTTGCGGACCGCAGACAATTGACAATTTTTGCAGATATTCAGAGAACCAATCGCAACAAAGCAGGTTATTTACAGAGCGGTCTGTTGGAGGGCACCACTGCATTTAGTTTTAATTTTTTATATTTACCAAATTCACTTGACTGGGTGTGAAGCATCTAATGAAAAGTTACTTAAGAGTGCTTGATAAAGATTTTCAAAAACTAAATAAAGTTGAGAAATTTGGGCATAAATGCCAACATATTTCAAATGACAACCAATAAATGAATAAAACCGTAACTATTGGACAGTTATAAAATCCTGAATTGTTTCAACAGAAATAAAAGTTCGAAGATCATGGGTCAAAAAAACAAATAGAGACTAAATAGGATTGACAAAATAGAAGGGTGTTTTGAAGATGATGTTGTCGGGAGGTTAGGGTTTCGTCCGTGGTCTACGCTTGCGAACTCGCGACGGCCGCGGACCGCAAACGTCTGCATCCAGGCAAATTCTTGTGTCCGCTTCGCATCCTCGAAATTAAGCCCTGCCCACTCCAAGTCATCCGCAAAATAATATAGACAATTGCAGACGCCTGCGGACCGCGAAGTGTCCGCTGCAGACAAAATAAAAGGCAGCTAATAATTAAAATAAAAAAAAAGTTCCTCATGCTAATGTGCCACCGTCCACAGGAAAAGGAATTTCATAAAATGAATTCATAATTCTTAGAAAAATTTCAGCGTACTCATTTGCAAAAGGACAGACTTCAAGGAGTCAGTGGTGTATGAGGACTAATTTCAGGACTTTGTTGATGAGGTAACTCAAAAGTCTGGAATTGACAGACAAAAAGGTCGTCAGTAATCGAGTAAAAAAAAATTACACATTTTATGATTCAAAAAATAAAAGTAAAAAAATAAATGATAAATTATAAATGAGCTTTTGTTTGTGACTTTACTAAGAAGGTCAGCTATCTAAAATACTTAGAAAATCTACATTTATCAAAAGAAAAACATGATGAAATTGAAAAAGTTCTTACCCTTCCATTGAGGGAGCTTTTCTTGAAAACCCTGCGAAAAAAAGGGATCAGAAATTAGAGTCATGAAAAGCATATCCTTCTATTATGTTGACATGTCAATTAAAAGCATGGTTTTAATTGCAGCAAACTTGCAGAGAATTTTAACCCTATTGTTTTCAGTAGTTTTTCTTTTGCTTGTTTTTTTTTTTTTTTTTTTTTTTTTTTTTGGCGGTAAGTCACCAAGAAAAAATTTCAGGGTCTGTACTTGTAAAAAATAAAAAAGGAGAGATAATGTAAGTGGGGACACAAACCTTGTCGCTTGCCTCCTACTGATTGAGCCATCATCCATGGCCGTAGCACTAATGAGAGGCCAGTACAGACAAATAACTTCTCTCCCCCCTTGGATTCACCTGAAACAAAATAAAAGTTATTGAAATTTGAGTTTAAAAACATGAATCAATGAATTTCCAAGAAATTCATATCAATTACTTACATGTATATAGATGGACAACATAAACATGGTCGGCCTCCTATGGTGTAGTGCTTGCTCTATGATCGGGAGATCGGTTCGATTCCCGTCTAGGCGACCCGAGTTTGATGGTCTCAAACAATGGTAGCCTGGGACTGGTTGTTAGGGACGGAGGGGGGACGGGACTGCAGCGCAGGATTAGCCCTTGTGGGCTACTTGAAGAAAAAAAAAAAAAAAAAAAAAAATGCCACACCATCACATGACTTCAAAAATCTCACCTGAAATCAAATACTTTACATCCTTGCTCAGGTAGTTTACAACCAAATTTGAAATGTTATCTACTACTGTAGCCTGATTGTTGAAATTTTGTGTTTGTCGGATGGACATGGATGACATATGGTAAATGGCGAAGGGTGATTGGTCGGCTACGTCTTATCGCTGCTTTGTCGGCTGGAATGAACGACATACTATCGGAGACTCAATAGATGCCTTTAGTTTGTCGTCCATTCCGATCGACAAAGCAGCGATAAGACGTAGCCGACCAATCACCCTTCGCAATTTAACCTATGTCGTCCATGTCCACCCGAAAAGCACAAAATTTCAACAATCAAGCTGCAGGCTTATCTAACTGTATGACAAAATAGACATAATTAGACCATTGAAAAATTAATTACAACTCGCTCACAAGTTTAGAATAAATGCTAATAGTGGCGCGTCATCATGGGGCTTCTCCATAGTATCAAATAGGATCCAAACAATAACATTGGCATAGCCTCTTTCAAGACTACCAATGCAAAAAAATCGATATATACCGATTTTCTGTAACAACAGCATTAAGAGCGTCTATGAGTTTCAGTTGTTATCATGAGTCATACTCATGTCATTCCTACATTATTCCTTCCATTATCTCTGTGATCAATAATAGGAGGGAATTAGGTGCACACTAACTATTAGAAGTCTCAAGACTTGCCTGTCAAAAAGTTAGAGTCTTTGGACAGCCTGCAGGTGCACAATATACTTAATTTGAACCGTTGCCTACGAGAATGGAGAGGCCGTAACTACTCGGTTTCGTGACGTCAAACTAGTAGAGTAACCGCCGTATTAACCAATCACAGCCGCCGTCGATTGGCCGAAGTTGCATGAGCGGCGCGTTTGAATCTTCGAGGGGTAACGATTTTCGGTATTTCGTCGTGTTTATCTTTTATTTCCTCAATTATCAGACAATATAATTCATGAACTAGGCAGTTTTCTGATGTGAAATTTTATCTTCTTTCAAAATGGTTCTTATGAATTTTTGCATCAGATCAACCCCTGAAAAGATATTAGCACAAAAGGAACATGTGTCATGTGTTCTCCCATAAGAACACATGTTAAATCGCAGCCGAGTTTCATCTACTAGCGTGACGTCACAGAATCGTAGTTACGGCCTCTCTATTCTCGTAGGCAACGTTTGAACATCTGCTTACGAGGGTGTAAGAAGTCACTAGAATTTCCCATCACCCCAACCAATTGATTGATCAAGAATAATACCAACAAGCATGCGATTAACTGTGAAGGGCCCACTAGAGACCAAAAGCAAAAGGCATTTTCAGTCAATAGCATCATTGATCATTCAAAAAAAAGTAAATAACCGCAGGAGCTCCCCCACACGCTCCAAGATTTGAGGTTAAGTGCCTACACATCAGACATACCACTTGGCACTCAAAATGTAAATACAAAGGTAGTCTACAAATAGTTACACTTAACAACTACACTGAGTAGATTGAACTAAAGTTTTGACAAGTATTACTCCAGGTTCTGACTGGAGTTCGGGGATGAAGAAGGTAGTAACTGCTAGACAGGAAGCTTCCTGATACTTGTGTGGTAAGACCACTTTTATTGGACCAGTAGATGTGAGATACTCACAGTATGAAAGCAAGGAGAGGTACGAGAAACTTGACGGAAGGGCGTCACGGACGTTGAAGGGACGAGCCACATAAAATAGGATGTTAGTAAAACCTGACAGTCACCAAATAGTCAATGACTCCACATCTAGTGACACTCAACAATTGCTCAATGATCACCTCGGATCAAACAGATTAGCTGGTAAGAATTCTGCAAAACTAAAGTATGTAACTGTAAATTAGACATTGACGATAAGAGCTCGATCCAATGTTTTTAATTGTAAAATTCACTAGCGGAACAATTTCGGCAAAACGAAACAAAGAATTAAGAACTTTCAACGATCCAGATTTTCAGTACAGTTTCGGAACACAGAAACTCTGAATTGTATATATGTACAAACCCAAAGAAATGATAAAGGTCAAGTGGAAGCAGGGTGGAAGCACGCAGCCATCTTGGTGACATACTTTTGAGTACATCACTTGCTTATTACGTCACCTAATATTAATTTATGATTGGCTGCCTCTTTATCTACCTGCCTTCCTCCACCCTTCCGGCCCGACTGCGCGTGCGCGTAGTCAGCGTAGTGTATATTCAAAAAATAGAAGGAAAAGTCATGGACGAAGATATTACATTAGGACCTTTCTCTGGTGTGCGAGATCCGAGCGTCAGCGCGATCTGGCAGAAGCACTTTTGAGTTATTTAGAGGTGCTACTTTCAGAATATGTCCCATAGATACCGCTAGTAGTGAGAGGTACTTTTTACGAAACCGCGTCGTTTTAGGTTTGAATTTTCCAACGAATTGCCCGTCGCCAATTCGCCATTGCACTAAGCCATGGACGAAGATATTACATTAGGACCTTTCTCTGGTGTGCGAGATCCGAGCGTCAGCGCGATCTGGCAGAAGCACTTTTGAGTTATTTAGAGGTGCTACTTTCAGAATATGTCCCATAGATACCGCTAGTAGTGAGAGGTACTTTTTACGAAACCGCGTCGTTTTAGGTTTGAATTTTCCAACGAATTGCCCGTCGCCAATTCGCCATTGCACTAAGC